GAAACAACAGACACAAAAAGTAAGGCAAGAGGGGGAAAAGATGTTAAAAACTTAAATCAAGGAAGATAAATGGATGCTATTAGTTCACAAGATTGTACTAGGTGTCATTGGCTTTTTTTTTTTTTTTTTTTTTGAGACAGAGTCTCACTTGTTGCCCTCTGTAGAGTACCATGACGACACAACTCACAGCAACCTCAAACTCTTGGGCTCAAGTACTTCTCTTGTCTCAGCCTCCAGAGTAGCGGGGACTGCAGGTGCCTGCTATAACACCCAGCTATTTTTAGAGACGAGGCCTCGCTCTTGCTCAGGTTGGTCTTGAACCTGTGAGCTCAGGCAATTCACCTACCTCGGCCTCCCAGAGTGCTAGGATTACTGGCTTGAGCCACCACACCTGGCCCCAGCACTGGCTTATTCTTAATCTTTCCCAAAAGCTACCACAATTTTTCACTAAACTAACTCTGAACTCCAGCAACTTGGGTATTTAAAATCGAGCATATTTCAGTCTCCCAAATCCAATTAAACCAAGCTCTTTCCCCTTCTACTGCCCAGCTTCACCTACCTCACCTGGCTCCCTACTGCTCTTCTCTCCATCTCCTGCAGGAAAAAAAATCCTTACCTTACTTTAGAAAATTAGACAAATTGTTTCATTCAAGGTAACAAAATACATTTAACATCAAACAAAGGTATCAGGTTTGTCCCATTTCAAAAACCTTCTGTTGGAAAAAGACAGCTTTCTAAAATACTGACTTGCAATTAACTGCCAAACACAAAAGACAAAGTAAATCTGCTTTAATGACTTAACGGTCCCCAAACCACAAATTCTACCTCAAAAATACAATACATACTGTCAATATTCATCCAATTCTTTAACTCACACACAAGTAGTAAGAGCAGAGGCTCTAGGTCCCTAGCATAACAGTAATGTCTTAGAATCAAAGCAATATGCTGCCTTGTTTAGTGACATATGTTCTAAGTATCAACTGCGAACAGCCGGATATGCTAAAAGGCTGGGGGCCTTATTTGACAAATATTTATAAATATGTACTATATATCCTCCAAATATCTATTCTACCTTGGTCCTACAGTGATTAAGATCAAGTCTCAAAGAATAGCTATGGCAAAGCTACAGAACCAGTACCCTAATATTAAGTTGACTGTCCTCAAAAATACTCTTAATTATGCCAAGCCAACCAAAAGAAGTGAACTATACTTCCTTTAGTCTGCCACAGAAGTGCTCTATCCTAAAAGTCTCCACTGATTCAAAACTTCTGTAAATATATACCCTTATTCAACTTACATTAAGTGTTTCAAGGTAATAGGCAAGATATGCATTTTTCAGCAGCTAGATCCAGAGCCATTTAGAATATTTAAAATAATTCCTTTAGACTTACATTGGTATCACATACAAAGGACTGCCCATGACAAAGCTTTCAGCAAGTTAAAAGTTGTCTTTATTCTCTCAGAGAGAAATAATACTACATCCCAGTTAAGGTATGGGGGAAGAAACATATCTTTAAAAAAATAAACACTGACAGATTCCTCCATTTAACAAAGTTCTAGTAGTCAGTCGTCAGGAGTAACTTCCAAGTTAAACATAACCACATTAGAAGTCTCAACCCCGGACATTAGAAAACTATGACAATTGCTATCCAGAATTTTACAACACAAATATTTATTTTGGCAACAATATTTTGTGTCCTCTCATAGTAAAGAGGCAGGAATGACAACTTTAGGGAGAAAAATAACAATTTTTTAAATATAGACAATTTCAAAGTTCCTTAGAATATTCTTAAATCTAAATGTCACCATGACATCTTTTCATCTCCAAACTCAAATGTGACAGGGCAATGTATACTATATTTTTATGTCTTTGAATTAACCACCAATAGTGCAATTAGTCCACCTCATCATCATATTGAACTGCTACACTGAAAATAGCATTTAGTAAGTTAACTTCTCTTACCTGACAAGTAAACTCCAAAAGTTACCAAGATAAGTCATTCTAACATTCAAATACAAAATAACATGCAGACAAATATTCCATTAAATGGATGCAAATCAGGTTTAGGAAAGCGCATTTCAGCATTCTGAAATTTACATTTTCCCCTTCTTCCTTTCCATATGCCTTTAGTGTTTATGTACCAAATACAGGAGAACATCCATAGTTGACCACCTCCCTACACTGACCATCCACCTACGTTGAACTAATTTTCACAAACCCAACATTCATCACCTGTATGTATCAGAACAAAAGGTCTAGCTCCTTATGTTGACCACCTCCATATCTAGAAGGTGTTTGTTACAGTCTCTTACATGGTCAACTTCAAGAGGCACTATATTTAAAAACAAAAGTTCAATCAAAAAATTAAGTTGATGGCTATTGCTTTCTTAAGTTGCAAGGTAAAAAAGGCTCTTAATACCTTGCATTACATATAAATACCTATGTGTCTATGCCATACTTGCTACAGTAACTCATGTAATCTACACTCAATTTAATGGCATCACATGACAGAACATCCTAAATATTAAGAGTATGATCTACAGCTTTTCAAGCATGTTTACATAAAAACCATCTACTTTAATGTGACTCTAAAACCCCATGCCCAGAAGCCAATGACTGGTTTACAAGCAAGAAAATTACTAGGTTCAATGGAAAAGTATTATGACAATAAACTAAGACTGCCTTACCATGTTATGATCTGCTAACCTAATATGTATGTTTAGCTACGATAGCAATATCCAAATATAACTTTGAAACATTTAATGACCAATTCTTTTCTAGATCTCAAGCTTATTTCACCTTTTAAGAAGTTTTTGTTTTGTTTTGTTCTTGAGACAGAGTCTCTGTTGCCCAGGCCAGAGTGCCAGGGCATTTGCCTAGCTCACAACAACCTCAAACTCCTGGGTTCAAGAGATCCTCCTGACTCAGCCTCCTAGGTAACTGGGACTACAGGCACCCAAAACAACACCCACTTAATTTTTTCTATTGTTAGCTGGGGTCTTGCTCTTGCTCAAGCTGGTCCAGACCACTTGAGTTCAAGGGATCCTCCCACATTGACCTCCCAGCGCTGGGGATAACAGGCATGAGAGGCAAGCCAAGCCCCTTTTAAAAAATGTTAATCTAAGGTTTTCCCCAAAATGTTTTTCTTAGAAAACACATTCCCTGGAATAGAGGGAGAAAAAAAAATTAAGGAAACACGTTTTCCCCTAAAACAATGACATGTCAGGAAAAAAAAAAAATCACAAAACATTTCAGCAGCTCTCTACCTTAACACAAATTAAAAATAAAAATGTAACCTCAAACAAGTTAAGCATTATATTTCATAAATAAGATTTTCCTACCCTTTATGAATTCTGCCATAAATGTACCAGAAATGATTTGTTGATTTTAAAAAGTGGCATTAAGGTATAAGATAATCAATAAAACTACAAAATTCTATTATGAAAAGGCTAGTCATATTTTGTTTACTTAGAATACCAAGTTTAATCATGACCTATCTAAACCTTATCATTGGTCATTGTGTAAAATTAGCACCGCACTTGCAAACATAAGCAGAATCTAGACTTATCTATCAAACATATAGTGAGACTTGCCTAGCTTCTGAAAATTTAAATGAGAATATAGGATTACAACGTTTTAGTTGGGAAAAAAATTAGATCAGAAAGAGAACCTCTTAAGATTTTTAATAAGTCTAGCAATTAAAACTCTGAAATTAAATGAAATGTCTTAAATAAAAGTACTCCCACTTCAGAAGCTAGAGTTTACAAGCGAATACCTAAAATAGAACAAGAAAAAAAATCAGTCAATCTCCAAACTACTAAAAAATACGCATAAGCACAAGTACAAACTGGTTTACCAGCTAACTTTTCCAGCCGTCAACCAGAGAAACATCAAAAGTTGACAATAGAACCAGAAGCTTTCCTTTTAAACTGGACGGTAATCTAAAAAATTTTGCTGTTGCTAATAGAAGCGACTTATAATTAGAAGCAGCTAACTGACAGGTGGAAAAATAAATTCCCCTAACAGCAGCAAGAGGTTGTGAAAACACGGTTCAAGGACTGAACATGTTATGACTGCACTGTAACAAGTCCAAGGTAATTTTACGCACACACCCTTTAGCGCAGTTCTTCAACCAGAGATAAGACTGGGAAACAAGAGGCTTCCCCAGGAGCCACATACCATTTTAAAACAGCCGTCGCCCTCCAGACAGGAAAACAGTCATTCTCATCCGAAGTCTTTCCGCCAGTTCTCCCAGTGCTGCGAAGGGAAGCGGGCGGCCGCCACCTTAACGAGAGAAGCCGGCAACAGCCCAGCCGCGCGGCCGCCACGCCTTCCTCCCGCCGCCGCTGGGGACGCGGAGTCACGGATCACATTTCTCCTCCCCAACAATCACACGCACGCACGTCCCCAGAGTTGACACCCTCCAAACCGGCCGCTCCGCTACGCTGGTGACTGGGCCACAAAGCACCAGGACGCAGCCATCGGCTGGGCGCTCAAGTTGCGTGCATGCGCGCGCGTTTGTGTTTGTTCCCCTTAATGAAAGAGGTCTCCGTAGTTACCGCCAGGGGCTGGGGGGAAAGAGAGGCCCCCTGTGGGACTAAACAAAACTTCGGTTGCTGGGAAGAGCCGTTGCGCAACCTTGGCAGGGGGAGGCCAAGGCCCCCGAGCCCCGGCCAAGCGCGGCTTCCCGGAGGCTGCGCCACCGCGCGCAGGAACCACGCGCGGCCCCGCGTCCGGCGGCCTCGGGCCTGGCGTGTCGCCAGCCTCGAGGGAGCGGCCCAGATCTGGACACACGGCGGGGGCTGGGGCGGAAACCGGGGGCACGAGAGCTCTCGGGAAGCGGATAAGGCGCGGGATGCGCGACAGTACGGGCCGCTCCGGGGGAGTCGAGCCCGGCCAGGGTCAGGATGGGGCCCCCTGGCCATCCAGCCGCAAGCCCGGCGGTCAGAACCGGTACCCCCACCCCGGGATCGGGGCGTCCCTTGCTTGATTCCCTTACCTTCCTATAGGCCTGCGCTCTCCCCTCTTCGGGCGGCCGCAGCCCTGAGCATGTCCAGGGTGGGGTACAGGGCCGTGCCGGGGACAGGGAGCCAGGCGCTTCAGCAGGCGGCACCACCCAGCCCGGGCTCAACCCCTCTCCGCGGCCGCTGCCATCTTGTCCTGGCGGCTGAGAGGAAACGGCGAATCAAGCTTCCCCGACCGCTGTTGATGCTGATGCTGCTCTGGCTGCAAAGCGCCGGGCCTGTCTCCCTCATCTTCCTTTCCGGGGATTTGGGGAGGGAACGGTTTGGCTGGGGCGAGGGGTAGTGAAGAGGCCGGCTGGCCTCTGGCTACTGGGGCCTACGAGCGACGCAGGGTGCGGGCCCGCGGCGGTTGGGGCCCATTCCTGCCGCCCCTGCGGGGAGAGAAGGAAGACGGCCGGGAGAGGCGGCGGCAGCGGGGCCCCGCGGCTCGGTGTCCTCAGGTCGCCGCGATGCCGGCAGTCGTCACTGAGGCAGCTGCCGCCAGCCGCCCAGTATCGGGCC